CCTATCCCTGCCAGTAGCAAGGTAAGATTGAGTGCAATACAGTGACCTTCAAGTCATTCCATGTAATCACAGGAAGAGATTGATTTACAATTTAAGTATTCATTAGTAACCACATTGGAAGAAAAGTGAAGCAAAAAATCATGCATTGGAATCCGAAGAGAGCAGCCAACAACCCCAAACTCTATCAAACTTCCCAGGACATTTTCTACGTGCATAGGTTGCTTTATATGAGTAAAGAGAAGCGTTCACCATGCTCTTCCAGTTAGAAAGGGTTGGTTGTTCACTTTTCTTCCAATGGAGAACAATAAGCTTTCTAGCATAAAATAACAGGATTCCCAATAACCACCTGGATGCATTTGTATGAGCCACCCATATACCTATAACGACGTGTTTCGTCCCTTGACTTTTTCCAGGAAAGGTTCATTGATGTGAACCTTTCCTGGAAAAAGTCAAGGGACGAAACGCGTCGGAAAGGATAGGACACACACTGAGGCTATACCATAGGTGACAAGCAGGTGGATTTCTGGTTCCAGTTTGCTTAGGTGGAATGAATTGATTTTAAATGTGGTGCAAAAAATATTCACCTAAAGTAAATCCAATGATTACATTAAACAGTGTCAGCTGCTGTGCTATAAATAAGTGAATTGATAAATCGTGTGCACATGGGCTACTGCTCATAAACGTGCATAAACTTCCAAACAACGTGTACATTTTCATAAACATACATTTTCAAACATAATAATAATCAATATGACAATATTCAATAATAGTCCTTAGTAAATCGGTATAAAGTGCTTTTGTGCAAAATCCACAATGTGACAATGATCCTCTGAAATAAAGTGCTCCAGACTACCGATGTGTTAAGGTAACTGAGAACATACAACTCAATGGTCAATAAACATAATTGTGGTGAGTGTCTTTCATAGTAATGTCTAAAATCATAGATATATACATTTATGAATACCAGCTGCGTACCTTTATATCCCTCACAGCTTCCAAATGTTCACTTTTAAACACACAAAAAATATATTTTTATTTTCATTTCACAATGTGCAACTGTTACTATTAGAAATTACTAAAAAGGCAAAGTGTAGAAGTTTGGTCCCATTTGGAATCCTGTTGATGGTGAGAAATTGCCATTTCCCCAGCTCAGGCACATGCCACCTCTCCCTTGCTGGTGAAAACTGCAGAATGTAAGTTGTCAGTGAAAGAGCAACACTTTGCTCATCCAGCCAGTAAGGGAGTAAAGCTGCCATATGCACATACAATTTCTACAGTTTTCTGCTGAATCGCCCAACATTTGATCCATGGGTGGCCCTGTTGGCACTACCTCTTTCAATCAACTTTTGTCAAAGAAGCCAGGTGGAACATTTTCAGCCAAACAGTGACAGCCTATGTGACTGAAAGAGAAAGATCTTACAGTGTATGGACAGCTTAACCCATACAAACATGAAAGTGTCCTCTATAGCTATCTCTGCTGTGTCCTCTATAGCTACCCTGCTGCTGGTGAGTTCTTGTCAGATTCAGGATCAGAAGTGTGACATTGATCTTTTTCAGGACATGACATTATTAAATAATAATTATTTATAATAAACTTCTGTGCCGATTTACTTAAGGAGTTGAGACTCTTCACACAATAAATTGTGTGAATATTCACTTAAATTATCCAATCATATGAAAAGCAAATTTCTGTTCATTTTTAATACCCAGGCATATGCAGATGAAATAATTAAACAGGGATTTTCTTTTCACATAACTGCACAATTTATTGGGTGAACATTCTCAAATACTTTAATCAGCCTCTAAATTATGTGAATATTCACATTAATTATCCAGTCATGTCAAAAGAAAATTCTTGTTTACATTTTCCAGAATCCTTAGTAAATCAGCTTCAAATTATTATTATTATTATTATTATTATTCACAAGTGCAAACCACTGAACCATAG